GAAATTAATAAGAGATAAATGCCTTGATTTAGCAGTACAAGGGTACTTCAAAAAGTTCAAGAAAAAATAGGATTAAAAGATAATATGAATCTTTCATGAACTTTTTGAAGTACTTTCATATTTATTATCTTTGGTATTTTATTTTCATGTGGTTCTTAGCCGAGCACAAATGTGTTAAAAGAGCAGCCAGATACTTGCTGTAGGTTGAATGAAAGAAAATCATACCATACATACTGTGGGGGAAATAGAATAGTTTGGTCAGGCTCCCTGGACTCAGGTCCCGTTGGGGTCCAGCAGCACATTTTTTGTAAACAAGTCATGTGTGGGTGGAGTTAGTGCACATGTGCACCCATGTATCTTTTTAGTTTTGTTGCTGTTGTGTGTTCTTCAGTGTATGAAGCAGGCTGGTGGCAGAGCTTGTGTCTAAAAATAGAGTGAATTTACTCTGCTGGCAGCTGCTTAGTTTTTCTCTGGACTTTGCCGGGAGCAGTTGCGTTTCTGAGTTTCTCTTTGTACTGCCCAGCTCTCAGACGTGTGTGTGCTGAGTAAAGACTGTTCTTACTTCAACCAAGGCTCCAAGGACCTTTTTGCCAGTTACCTAGTTCATAGACCTGCTTGTGAAGGGTTTGTGAACAGGCTCAAGGAGTCTGTGAGCTCCAGACCCAGCCCTACCTCTACGCATACCCTTTCCCAAATGTCTTTTCCAGCCTTTTTTTCTTTTTCTTTTTGTTACAAATACCTTCTCTTCATTCTTTCCCTCCTTCTACCCATGATTTCAAAGTACCTTCCAATGTACCTCAAATCTATAGGGAGTAACCAGACACCTGGGGGGGGGGAGGGCGGGAATGACCGGGAGGATGTTGCTTCATCTTCTATTGAATTCAAAGCTCATAAGTTCCCAAAGAGAAACCTGAATAACAGAACTGTGAAATGGGAACACGAGCTGGCAAATTTTTTTTTTTTCATTTCTCATATATAACCTCACATTAAAGTCTTTTTCCTTTAAGCAACTAGGTTTACAATCAGGGCTAAACAAATCTTAGAGATTATCTAGTTCAAATTCTCTTTATTTTACACTTTAAGATCCTGGGTAGCTTCAAACACTTATCCAAGGACCCACCACAAGTCAGCAAGGGACAGAATAAGAAACTAGATCTACTAACTGCCAACAACTCAATGAACTTTACTTGCTGTATAATCCAGGCTGAATAATTATACTCCAGTAAACAAATGAGGCTTAGAAATGTTAATAACAAGTTACTATTCCTATGAACCAACTCAGACATAAAGCCTTCTCTTCCTCTTCCTAGTCTTTCCCCAACCCCAGCAGTGAACTATCAGCAGAAAAACATTTAGCACATATACACTGTATTTTTAATTCAGCACTTTCTTTGTTCTCACCTCGGCTGAACACAACTGATATAAGGAAGATTATAATAAGATTTTGAAATGTCATTTTAGAAAAAGAAAAAAAATTAAAAAGCTAGTCCATCTCCCCTCATTCTACAAATAACCAATTTGCAGCTCAGAATGTTGACATAATTGTCCAATGTCACTCAGAAAAGCAATATTAGTTTCATTTTAAATGAAAAACAGAATAAAACTAATTATAAAGCCTAAGGGGAGGAAAACTTTTTATTAAAATAAGTTAACAAGCTGAATTTTCTATATTTATACCTTAAAATCATCAACAAGTTCAGGGAAAAGGTGTTCATACATTTTTAGTTCTTCTATAGTTCGTCCTGGTTCTTGCTGGGGTTTTAGTTTGTTAATATCTGTCTCAATATCATCATTCTGAAATATAAAAATAGCATGTCAGCAGTTTTAAAAATCCATAAAAATTACAAAATACATTTTAAATTTTAAATATTCCAAATTACTAATTACAAGTAATTAGAGAATAATCTCGGAATAAAGATATTCATTTTACCCTAAATTCAAATTTGCTTATTTTTTTTGAGGTGTTGCATTATCGGTGGTTTTTATGTTTTGTTTTTATCATGGTTATTCTAATATAACAGGGTATTTGGGCTCCTCAAGACAGAAACCCTGTGTCAAGATCAAGACTAAAGTATGCTCTCCTCCATCTCCTTAACTGCCATCATTTTGGTCTTATTAAAAGGAAGTAAAACTTGAGAAAACTAAATTGAAAAACATGATGGTGGGGATAATCAAAACAGCTAACATTTATTGAGTGCTGAAAATATATGATGCATTATGCTAAGCATTTATACACATTCTATCTAATTTAGTACTATGACATAGATAGTATCATTACCCCCAATTAACTGAAGAGGAAAATGAGGCATAGAGAAGTTAAGTGGCTTGCTCAAAATGACTCATCTGCAAAGAGAGGAGCCAGGATGCAAAACCAGTAGGAGTGTCCCAGAGCATACACTGTCAGGCAGTAGGAGGCGCCGCCTCAATACAGACTAATGATTAGCACACACTCTCACATTCCATGGTAAAGAAAGTTCCTTAGAAAAGTTCAGTGTCACCATTCACTCTGTTTTTCAGGGGGATAAAAACGTAATGAGTGGAACAGCCAGAAATGTTTTCCATGTCCCTTTGGAAAAGAAGAGGGTAAATTTAAAGAAAAAGAATGTCCTCAGAGAAACAAGATACGTATCTGGAATCAATTTGGTCTGTGTGCTCTTCAGAGAAGAGCTAATGCTCCCTGTGATAGGAGGGCAAGGATCAGTTTACCTACTATCCAAGCTATTTTCCAGGATCCTCAATAACTGTGGACTCACACTAATACAAAATCATCGTTAACTTCACTGATGGCTAAAGAGAGATAATAAGACCACTTATTAATTTTTAATTGGTACTCTTTTGTGTGTGTGTGTGTGTGTGTGTGTGACCGGTACAGGGATCGTACCCCTTGGCTTGGTGTTGCCCGCACCACGCTCAGCCAGTGAGCGCACCGGCCATCCCTATATAGGATCCGAACCCGCGGCCTCGGCGCCCAGTGCCGCTGCACTCCCAGCACTGCACTCACCCAAGTGAGCCACGGGGTCGGCCCCTCATTTTTAATTTTGCATTTATCTTACTACCAGAGTAAATTACTTACTTTTCAGCCTTAAAACAAATGTATTCTATCATACTTCATCCTTAAAATGCTTTACATACACATATATGACTATATTTATACACATTAACTAGTAATTTAAAGGAAAAACATACTACGTGTTTATTATTTCATATTCAAGAATTTAGCTATTATTTGCGATTTAATAAAGTATAATTTATTATTGTATAATAAAGTAAGTAATACTGAATATACTTGGTTTTTAACAGGCATGGAAACATGTAGCACATACAAGGTTTCAATCAAAATACAACATTTTAATGTTATAGATTCACTATTAGTCTGGGAATTTTACTACCCCCAAACATTAACCTTCCAAAGAATCTAAACATTCTATTTTTAATATTGCCTCTGTTATCTAAAGAACACTTTACATATAGAATCTCAATCCTCCTAACTTGGATCCTACCAGTTCTTTCACTTTTATCAGGTTCAGAAAAATAAACACAAAGTTACCCCAGATTTCTTGCCTTGACCATCAGACCTTGCACTGTTTTTCATCTTTATAGCTTCTTGAGGCCAGGACACAGACATCATGTCATCCAGAATGGCTAACTTGACAATTTTGCCAAAGCCTGCCTTGGTGATCACATTTGGTGGTTATGAAATTGTTTCTATGATCTGCTATTAAGACAGAAATCTTCCAGTATCTTAGATTCTATCTCCGAAGAGAGTCAAATACTTAGTGTGACCCAATTTTGATGTAGTATTCCAAGACTAAAAAGGCACAAGCACACTAGAGTCAAATTAATCTCTCCTCCCAAATACACCCAGCAATAAGCTAAACAGTTGATAAATGAACGAGACCCTTTCTGGACAGATGCTAAAGTGACCTCCTCTAGCACTAAATAAAGCAAAATGTAGAGTTTCTAGACTTCCACAGTTGCTATAAAATTCTAAAAACTCACCTGCCTCTTTTACCTAACATGACAATAATTTTATATTTTTTCAATTCAATAAACACTTCTCTCCACTTCCTTAACCAATTAACTGAAACCTAGGAATCATTATGTAAACACAAATTCTCATAAAAAATACATCAGTTATAGGAAATTTTCCTACTATTTCTGTATCCCCAAAAGATTCCTGACAAAGGGTAATGCATTTTGGAATAAGCTGCCACAATAGAATCTCAAACCACTTTCCTTAGATGCTTTAGATTTCCTTAGATTTCAAAATCTAAGTCAGAAAAGTTAGATAAAATCTTTCCGGTCAGAGAGAGTGAATCTAAGTTACTTTAAGGCCTTTTCACACCAGTGGCTTTAAAACATTACCTGCCCTTTTAACTGTTTATAGTGTCTATATAGTCATCCATAATAAAAAGATGTGAACAAAGCTAATTAATTTGCTGTTTTATATATATCTATTTACCCAATCTCTGTTTTTCAGATGTAGTATATGATTTATAAGTTGGGTAATGATAGAAATGTACTAACCTTAAAATTTGGAGCTAGGTCATCTTCATTTTCAGTTTCATTTTCAGCTTCTCCATCAATATCATCATTGTCGTCACTTTCATCCACTACGTCATCCACTGCGACACAAAATGCACTATAAGTAGGTCAGAGGTAAGCGTTCTACAACATGCACATCCAAAGACAGACTGTTTTGTTTATATTTATGTACCCGTAAATATTTTTTCAATCACCAAAATAAATGAGATTTCTTATTAAAAATGTCTCTATGGCTGTCCCAGCTATTGTAAAATCTGAGATAGTATGTGAAAGTGCTTCAAATTTGGAAAGCACTGTAGAAATGAATGGGTTTTTTACTAATGTTCTCAGTTAAAAGATTGATAATGTCTTATGTTGCAACAGCCTGAATAAAACATCATATTTTCTGTTTATAATAAATTTCAATGACTCACTTCATCCCTTTATAATTCACCTTACATTTATCTGATACAATGACTACCATGTGTCATGTACTGTGTTGTATGCTGGGAAAAATTTTAAAAGATGTTTTAACATAGTCTCTGCCCTCAGGGAGCCCATGAGGTTAAAGCATAAAGGAGTAAACAAGTATTAGAATACAGAAGATAAACGCTAATGAAGGCATAAACTTCAAAATGCTAGAGAGAAAACCAGGGATGTAATAACTAATTGTGATAGCTAACTTCATGGAACAGATGATATTTAAAATCAGCATCTTGAAGAAAGTATACGAGATTTCTATATGAACAGAAGGGTGGCTTAGTGTGGCTTTTAAAAAGAGAAAATAATGTCAAAATAAGGAAGTGAGATGGTATCTTTGGAAAATAATAGAAAGTATGACTAGGATGCACCGTATACTTGGGAAAGTACCAAAAAGCAACTAAAAATAAGAAAATTAAAGATATACTAAAGTAGGCCAAACAGTTTAGATTTTTAACCTAGAGAAGATATGCACTGAGGATTTTCAAGAGGAAAACGGCTTTATTCAGCTTTGGTATCTTTTTCAAAAGATCTCTCTGGCAGGTATGAGAGAGGGAGTATATGGGTAGAGGGAGGCCAGGTAATAGGGGGAGAGACAACACTTTCTGGACCAACACGGTAGCAATGGGAACAAAGAAAGAATAAACATTAAAGAAAAACTCAGGAGGAGAATATAAAAGAACATGGCATCATGGACATGGGGAGACCGGGAAAGAAGAGCAGAACACACCTGGAGGCTTCTCGTGTAAGCTACGGTGCTGTCAAACTTCCGTACTTCCATTTCCAATATGACTTACAGCAAAGATTATTAGCTGCCCTCCTAGTGTCTGTTCTCCTCTCCTTTCTTTTAGTGATAGAACCCCTGAGTTTTAGCTACAGGGATTCCAGCTTCCCTTGCAGTAGTTATAACCATATATATGACCAATTTGGGGCAAATGGTATATAAGGCAAAGTGATGAATATGAATTCCAGGTCATGTTCTTTAAAAAGAAAAATTGCACTATCCATTTTCTTTCATTCCCATTTCCCACATGCACATGAGGAAACCACAGGAAATGATAAAAAACAAAATTTTAAAAAATCTTGTTTCCTCGTGGAACAGGGGACTACTACCCAGGGATCACCTGCCTATCTTTTGGATGGATACGTGACAGTGTAGCAAAGCGGCTCTCCAAACTCAAATCCTGGCTCCCCCCACTTACTAGCTGTTTGACCTTGAGCAAGTTACCTAAGTTCTCAGTGTCTTAGTTTCCCACCTATAAAATGGAGATACCTACTCTTAGTGTTCTTGTTAGCATTAAAGGAGTTAATACATGTAATGTGCCAGATAAAAAGCATGGTTACAAAAATGTTTATTACTATTGTTGTTTGAGTGACTGTGCTACTGGGTCTCTTCGAAACAACAGCTCAGTCTATCCTAATACAGGTACCAAATTGCCTCAAATTCTTTTTAGAAGTCAACAGCAAAAACTAAGTATTCATATTGCATATGGTGACGTGGGTCTATTTATGGCTATGCCCTAACAGCAGTTAGTCATGGATAAACAAGGGAAGAACTGGCATTTGGAGATAGAAAAGCAGCAAAAGAACTCTCAGGAAGAAAATAAAGAAACTGAATTTAGAAAAGCCTATTGCAAATAGGAAAAATGACCCCTTGGATAGAGAGAGAGGAACAGTCAGTTCAGCATCAGAAAGAAAATATGGTTTTAATTTTTAGTCAAACCTTTCAAATATTTTCCTTTATATGATATTTTCCTTTGGATTTATACTCCTGATGTGAAATGCCATATAGCTTACACTGTCTGAGACCTCTTCTTCTAGTCCAAAGATCTATTCCCGTACTATCACCAATAATTAATAATATTAATTACTATAGCTTAATCATATAATTAAAGCCAAGAATTACAAATCAAAATTCTTGTCGTTAGTTTTCAAAATGCCCTTGTCTCATTTATAGTAAAAACAGAAATATGAAAACCAATTTACATATCTATCAGTAGGAAACTACATAGTTAAATAAATTACTATGTCTATACGATGTAAACATTAAAAGGAATGAGCCAGCAGCTTCTGTAAGGATTTGGAAAGGACATTCCAGGGGTCTTGTTCTGTTGCTGCTAGTGCTCCTGTAAATGCAACCTGCTTTCCCTTTATGTTTTCTAACTGGTTTTTGTTGATATATAATATACATGTACATACGAAAGCTACTGAATTTTGTTTATTTTTCTTGTAACTAGTACTCTATTGAACTTTTCTTTTGTCTAAGCCATGTTTTACAATTGATTCACTTGGATTTTCTACGTAGACAGTAATATCCTCCACAGATACTGATACATTTATCTCACTCTTTTAATAGTTAAGACCTTCCTTTTCCCTGCCTTATTAATTTAGCTAGAGCTTTCTAAATTATGTTCAATAATAATGGTTGAGAGAGACATCCTGTAAAAGTTTGTTTACTATGTGTGATGTTGGCTACTGATTTCAGTTAGATAATATTCAGCTTCTGTAGGATATATTCCTGATTTCCTTAAGAAATTTTATCTGCAATTGATATGATTTTTATGAAATCTCTTCATGGCATTCACTGAGAGAATCATTCAGTTTGCTTCCCTTTTGCCTAACATTAATAAATTTTATTAAAGTCTTAATATTACAGCAAATTTACTTTCTTAAAAACACTGCTCACTTGGTCAAGGTATCCTATACATGAAACACACTGCTCAATTCAATCTGTTAGTATTTTAGGATTTTTATATTTATTCTCATGAGTGACACTGATCTGTAGGTTGTTTCAGGTTATTCTTTCCAGGTTTTGTTTTCAGCATCATGCGAGCTTCTAAACTTTCCTTTTTTTTTTTTCCTATGCTCTGGAAAATGAAGCATAGGAAAAGTTCTTGAAAGTTGAGAGAACTAATCTACAAAGTCATCAGCATTTGATATCTTCAGTGAAGAAACATAAGTGCATTTTCAGTTTCAGGATTTTTACTATTTAATTTATTCATATTTTCCTAAACTACTGTCCATTTCAATCGTACATTCAAATGTATTAACAGGAAGTAGCTTTAGCACCCACTTAGATTGATTTAACTATCCCTAATTTGCCAAGAACACAGAGGTATATTAAAATCACCCGCTAACACTGTGTTTCTACCAATTCCTCCTTATTCAAATGATTATAGCTTTATCTATCTTTGTTCTATTATTTGGCACGTGTGTTATTATCTAGCTTGTATAAAATATCTCTGCCCTTTTAACATTTTTTCTGTTCTGTATTCACACTTTGTATGATAGTGATACTGTCTTTCTCACCCCTTTTGGGCTGGGGATAACAGACACATGTTTACCAATCTGTTCACCTTTCAAGCTTTCCATCCTGCTGTTTTAAAAGTCTCTGGTATGTATAAGCTAGTTGGATTTTGTTTTTTAACCCAATCTGAGAGTCTCTTTTTTTTTTTTCCTTTTTGTCTTTTTTACTGACCGGTAACGGGATCGCAACCCTCGGTGTCGCGCCGCACCGCGCTCAGCCAGTGAGCGGGAACCGGTCTCCACAGGGGATCTGAACCCTCAGCAGGAGCGCTGCCGTGCTCTCAAGCGGCGCACTCTCCAGTGCGCCACCGGGCCAGCCCTGAGAGTCTCTTTTTTAATAGGAGTGTTTTATCCATTTAGATTTCTTAATTACTAAAATTGATTTACTTTGTCTTGCTTTGTATTTAGCACTCTCAGGGTTTGGTGTATCTTTGAAATTTCCTTGTCTTTATATAGCAGCAGACCCCTTAAAGGATTTTTCCATGGAGGAAAAAAATTACATAATTTTACATAGAATTTCAAAGTGTTTGTAGTCTCTAAAGGCTATCCATGTATTCCTATCGCTCAATGGACCACTAAAGGATCCAAGTATCTCTGTTGTAGACGTTACTTTTGTATTGAAAATATGTACTTGGATCACTATTTCTATAGCTATCATTTTGGAAATGCAAAAATAGTGTAATAGTATCATATTATAAAACTTATCAAAATGAATTTTAGGGGCCGGCCCGGTGGCGCACTGGATAGTGCGCCGCTTGGGAAGCGCGGCGGCGCTCCCGCCCGAGGGTTCGGATCCCACATGCAGACCGGTTCCCGCTCACTGGCTGAGCGAGGCGCGGGAGCAACACCGAGGGTTGCGATCCCGTTGCTGGTCCCGGTCCGGTACGGGGGCAACACTGAGGGTTGTGATCCGTTGCCGGACACGGAAAAAAGACAAAAAGACAAAAAAAAAAAAAAAACCCAAAATGAATTTTAGTTTGTGTAAAGGACTCAGTTTATGATAACTTTGTTTTATGTTTATTTGCCAAGAATTAGTTGGTATGTTTCATGATAATAATGCAGCAACTATTTAGTATTATATAGTTAACAGGTTGTAATATTTAACACAATTACTCTTCTACTATGTCTTCTGCATTCGTGACATGTTTAATTCATCACTTGACTGGTGAGTAATACTAGAGTAATTAAAAACGTTCGTGGGAAAATAGAATTAGAAGATAATATGAATCTTTCCACCAACTTTTGAAGCAGCCTTATATTTCACGTAACTGCTTCAGGAAGGGTACCTAGGTAATATACTTTGTACCCTTATCTAAGAGTATGTTAACTTTACATATGATGGCAACTAATAATAAGGGTTCCTTCAAATCGTGATAGATGCTGCTTCACTATGAGTGCCTTCTGGCATTTAACATTCAAGAGAGTGAGGCCAGCTCAATTCATTCATTCAACAAATAATTTAAAAATTCACACTTTTTATATCCCATACAATCTAGTAGATGCTGAAGATAAAATGAAGAAAAAATAACAGTCCTATTGTGATTAATAAATATTTGAGTTTTGTCCCCAGTTCCTGGCACACAGTTCCTAAATCCCTTGGAATTTCCTAGGTGACAGGAGCATCTTTTGTTCTAATAAGGGGATTCTTAGTGGGCCCCTAGACAGCTTCAGGATGGAGGCTGGTCACTAGAAAGACCAAGGCATGATTAGAGTTTTGGAACTTCAGCCCCTCTCCTCAACCTCCAGGGACGAGAAAGGAGCTAGAGTTAATCACCAATAGCCAATGATTTAAACCATCATTTTATGTCATGGAACCGCCATAACTCTAACCGACAGGGCTCAGAGAGCTTCAGGGTTGGTGCCGCACCAAGGTGCTGGGAGGGTGGCGCACCTGGAGAGGCACGGGAGCTCCGCGCCCTCCTCCCATACCTGGCCCTTTGCGTCTCTTCCATCTGACTTGTCTGGGTTGTGGCATCTTTTACGATAAACTAATAAATGTAAGAAAAGAGTGTCCCTGAGTTCAGTGAGACATTCTAGAGAATTATCAACCCTAAGGAAGGGGTCATGGGAACCCTCCACCAACTTTATAGCCAGTGAGTCAGAAACACAGGTGGCCCATACCTGTACCTGATGTCTGAAGTGGGCACAGTCTTGTGGGAGCCTATAACCTGTGGGGTTTACACTAACTGCAGGTAGTGTCAGAATTGAATCGAATTGTAGAACACCCAACTGGTGTCCAGAGAATTGGAGAACTGGCTGATGTGAGGAAAAAATGCACACGTTCAGTGTCATAAATGTTGCTGAGTAAAACAGCTCAGACCTATCCTTGTGGGACTTACATTCTAGCTGAGGAAGGTAAAAAATAATGAAGACTGTGATACATGTAATGAAGACTGATATGTGAGAAAATAATGGAAAACAGAATGAGGGTCTTCTACTTGTACCTACATTGTTGCTATTAGAACCCTGCTCTCACATCTTAATCACGAAGGCTTGTCAGTCAGTGTAAACCTGCATTTCTAGTTCAGTAACCTAGCAGCCTGAGAAAGATACAGGAAAAAAAGCCAGCAGAAAAATGTCAACTCTCTCGTTTTTCCCACGTCTGGTGAATTCACTACACTAAAGGTCAGATTTCTCTATCCATCAATCTGGACACTGAATAAAGAACACCACGGGGTATATACTACTTCTTCGTGGTGTCACTACTTGCCACATCACAGGGAAACCTCACCACTTTCTACCAGTTAGAACCACCACTTAAACCCCCATAACGCTATGTTGAAAGACAGAAGAGAAAGGGATTCCAACTGCTCCTTGATTGTCCCTCCAAATCAGGTGCGAGTAGCACCTCAACTTGAACCAGGATATTGCATTTCATAGGAGGAGTACAGCCATGCTCTTCCTTACTCCACTCATGTCTCTACCACATCTATTCCGTGTTCTATGTCTGCTCCATGAAGATGCCCCTCTTACCTAGATTTCAGACTTGATACAGATTTTGCTCTACTTTTAAACTCTGTTGGTAATTTCAAAGGGAATGGGAAGAAGAAATTAGACCATTGTTTTCACTTAGCTATCTTACTCATAGGTACTAGATTTAGTCTTAAACTTTTAAACCTTTTAAAGGAGGTTTCTAAATAATCCATTTTGATATTCTGTCAACTAAACTTGTGCTTTAATAATTAAATATTTTAAAAATAAAATCATAATACTGTATCTTATGATATATATACCATTAATAAATCAATATCAAGGATAATAAAACTAATTATAACTACTTGAAAATTATTTTAAAACATTTACTTCACATCAGTACTTTTTAAATAAAGAATCTACATTAAGAAGTTTAAATTCTTACTTCCTTTACTACATACCTACGGTATTATACAGAAAATGGTAACCTATCTCTAATAATTTCGTATTTTCATCCAGGTAAGCCATGTCTTACTTCACATCAGTACTTTTTAAATAAAGAATCTACATTAAGAAGTTTAAATTCTTACTTCCTTTACTACATACCTACGGAATTATACAGAAAATGGTAACCTATCTCTAATAATTTCGTATTTTCATCCAGGTAAGCCATGTGCAAGCTTCTGTTGAGCATAAATCCATAACAACTTTGGTGATTATGCTCTCTTAACTTAAGGAAAAAAAATTCACTAAAGAAGCTACAAATGTAAACCCAAACATAATTACCTAAATATTTAATGTTTACATTCTTATAAAATGAAAATTTAAAACAAAAAACCGACAAAGTCGCAGGGTTCTAAGAACCCATGAAAGTCAGCAGTGGCTGGCCCCGTGATCCTACCTTCAGGGGGTAAACTGTAGAGCTGGGCCACAGGGCCAGTCACAGGAATAACCGGCAACTGGAAATGGAAAGAACTTTTAATCGTTGGGAGTGGCAGGCGATTTTTTGGGAAACACTTCCTCATTATCAGACTGGAGGTGTTGACAAGAGGATCAAGAGTCCTGACTGCCAAACATTCCTGTTTTATGAAAAGAAAAAAAAATGATAATGTGCTTTGGTGAATAACTGAACCAATTTTACATTACTTCAGATAATAAAACATTAATTATCTTCTAGAGACAAATATCACAAAAACTAGTATTTTATAATTATAAATAGTGTTCAGAAGTACCTATTTGTTTTTGGGGGGTTTTTTTGACCAGTAAGGGGATTGCAACCCCCGGTGCAGTGTGGTCTGCACCACGCTCAGCCAGTGAGCACACCGGCCATCCCTATTTAGGATCCGAACCCGAGTGAGCCACAGGGCTGGCCCCAGAAATACCTATTAGTTGATAAGAACCTCATGTGGCAAATTGAGTAGGATTTTTCCTTAAGTAGTTTAAGCAGAAAGCAGTACCATCTTTGGTACGAAAGTTACCTAAGTACTATCTATGAGTAACTTGGGATATTTAGCAAGCCTAGGGCATAAAATAAATTTTCAAAAAATTAAGGGGAAAAGGGAAAAAGGATTAAGTGAGCAGGTGTAAGAAATAAAAAAGAAAGCGCATCTGCCCGAGCTTTTCTCAAAATTCAAATGCAATGGTACCCCTCACATGGTGACTATTCAATTCATAAAAGAGTAGCCTGAATATTATGACTTAAAGTTTTACGAGTTTGATTTGCCGTCCTGGTATCTAATCTTGAGAAGAGCTGAGGCACAGGAATTTGAGACTATGTTATATAACAATATTATTATTAATGACAATTGACATTTTGATGGCACTTTGATACACTATTAAAATTTCAAGTACACATTTTGACATCTAACCTGTCAAAACAGATGAGAAATTAAGGTTCAGAAATGTTAAGTGGCATAAACAAAGTCACCTAACTCTTCCTCATATATTAAATATCCATCACTGTCTATATTAGGAATAGTAAAAACAAGTGTGTATGACTGTTCTAAAAGGGAAAAAACTAAGGGTAAACATAAACCTGTGTTCAGGTATCTTAATTACTGTCATGTAGAAAGAGATCGTGTTTGTCATATGTAAGACCATGAGGACACAATCAAGATAATTGGCTGGTATTTTCAAAACAACAGATTTCTTTCTAGTAATTATAGGTTCTAGCCTTCTGAAAACTAAAGGGTTGCCCTGCAACATCCCATTCCCCACAGCTGGGGGTCTTCTACAGATGACGGAAAGCATCTCGCTGAATACACTCCAGGAATGTTTATGCTTCGGATGGCTGGCAGAATTAGCATTCCCAGTCCCAGGTTTCACTTCTGCACCTCCACTCAGCAGGAAGACAGGCAGAACACTCACAGACAACAGAATTGCCCTACCAGCTATAAAGGATCCACAAATACCTTATGAGGGGAGCACATAAGACTGCATACAGCCAGCTACACACACTAGAAAGCATGGCTACATGGAATCTCTTCCTGCCCAGTGGATGGATTTACACATTTTCCTTCTACCTTTGCAAAAAAACTTCACATTGCAGAGATATGCACTGACCACTTTCTCCAACTCAGTCTGAGGTTACACGTGAGAAATGATTGTGTCTTTTGGTTTTAAGATTTTTAAAAAATATATTTTACCATATGTGTATTTTTCTAAGTTATTTGCACACTCATTCAGTTTTCTTAAGGACTTAATCATATCATTAGTACATGATCAGAAAAATAAGAAGAAAATAACTCACTTGTGAAGTGTTATACAGAATTTTCATCCCATTGGCATCAATAAATGCTTTTCTTCCCAACTTGATGCTTGTAACACTTTTTAAACTCTGCAAAATTCCTTTCCGAATGAGCATGTTTCTATGCCGATTATCATGACGGTGCCAATCTAGATAAATTGTTAAAAGCACTTGGACATATCCTCTGTCTACAGCTCTCCTGGCATTTGTTTCTTTAACAAAAGAAAATTGAGAAAAAATATTTTTTAAATGACAAGAGAAAGTGGTAAAATAAAGCAAATTAAAAATATAACCTCAATATTATGATGAATTCTAATTCTTTTTTTCCAAAACAAATGTCAGCCACATATTTAAATATTTTTTCCAACAAAATAAATATGACAAGTTCCAGAGGGCAAATTACAACATTTTTCAGAAGCCTGCCCATATAACATTACATGATTTATAAATATCAATATCTCTTTATCAAAATTAGGGCTACATCTTTTTAAATGTTAATACTAACAAAAGTTTGATGTATTTTAAAACCTATGAATACACTGACTTTGATTACAACCAAACAGAATATATAAGGCTTTATCTTACTAGCTTTGAAAATGATTTCTAGGGCTACATCTTTTTAAATGTTAATACTAACAAAAGTTTCATGTATTTTAAAACCTATGAATACACAGACTTTGATTACAACCAAACAGAATATATAAGGCTTTATCTTACTAGCTTTGAAAATGATTTTGTGAGAAGTCACTACTACTTTTGTAACTTCTATTACAAACTTTGTGTTCCCACTGAAATTAAACCCTTTGGATTGCAGCTCATTACAAACTTCACATCTCCACTGAAATTAGTTGTTATCTCATTACCACACAATTACATAAATATCCATGCCATAACAATGCTAAATTTAAAATACTTATACAACTTTTTAGTAAATGAATATAAGGAGCATTACATGATTAGGAAATAGTGCTTTCTAAGTCATTAAATTTTTAATGTGATGAAAACTACATTAAAGGTTTTCGTAAATGGTCAATTTTATTGGAGTAAAATTTACAGAAATAAATCCATAAATTTGACCTAATTTTATTATTTTTAAAGTATTAATATACAAAAAGGGTGCATTGTACTAAGATAATGGCAAGGAAATCANAACTTCACATCTCCACTGAAATTAGTTGTTATCTCATTACCACACAATTACATAAATATCCATGCCATAACAATGCTAAATTTAAAATACTTATACAACTTTTTAGTAAATGAATATAAGGAGCATTACATGATTAGGAAATAGTGCTTTCTAAGTCATTAAATTTTTAATGTGATGAAAACTACATTAAAGGTTTTCGTAAATGGTCAATTTTATTGGAGTAAAATTTACAGAAATAAATCCATAAATTTGACCTAATTTTATTATTTTTAAAGTATTAATATACAAAAAGGGTGCATTGTACTAAGATAATGGCAAGGAAATCACATCACAGCAACGTAACAAGCCACCCAATGCTACTGTGGTGGGACAATTACAGGCAGTGCAAGATGATATGGAATACCAACCCAGCTGGGGCTGCTTAGCTACCAAGAAATACTAATCTCTTCCTCATCTCAAATTTACCTATAAAATGACCCCCTGGTTCATGGCATGGGCACTAAAATAATGCAAAAGTATGGCTCCACTGATTCTAGTTGCTTGAAAGAATTATTACAATTTCCAAATGTGCTAACACATACCTAAAACATTGAGATAAGGTTATTAGTTCCCTCTCAGAAATATGTTCTGATATTAGAGAGGCAGAAGAAACTAACCATGGGAGAAAGCTTCTAAAGAAACTTTCAAACCTCTATCGTGTCTAAAATACCTAGTCTGCTAAGGCTATAGCTATTCACAAAATCAGTTCTACTGCTTTGACCAACAAAAGTTTCCTGTACTTTAAGTGAACGTACACTTTGTTTACACCAATTGGAATATAGAAGCCAGCTGTGAATATGATTTGTTAAAAGCCATTATGATCATTGTACCTCTATTACAAACTTTGTATGTTTCTGGCCAGGAATTTCCAATAGCCTAAGTGGTACTTATGGGAAATATTACAATTCCGTATGAAAGATAAAATAAGAAACTTGCCCATAATTCAAATACAGGTGCTAAGTGACCCTTAAAGAACCAAACACAGCTACAAAATAATGCAAAAGTATGGCTCCACTGATTCTAGTTGCTTGAAAGAATTATTACAATTTCCAAATGTGCTAACACATACCTAAAACATTGAGATAAGGTTATTAGTTCCCTCTCAGAAATATGTTCTGATATTAGAGAGGCAGAAGAAACTAACCATGGGAGAAAGCTTCTAAAGAAACTTTCAAACCTCTATCGTGTCTAAAATACCTAGTCTGCTAAGGCTATAGCTATTCACAAAATCAGTTCTACTGCTTTGACCAACAAAAGTTTCCTGTACTTTAAGTGAACGTACACTTTGTTTACACCAATTGGAATATAGAAGCCAGCTGTGAATATGATTTGTTAAAAGCCATTATGATCATTGTACCTCTATTACAAACTTTGTATGTTTCTGGCCAGGAATTTCCAATAGCCTAAGTGGTACTTATGGGAAATATTACAATTCCGTATGAAAGATAAGATAAGAAACTTGCCCATAATTCAAATACAGGTGCTAAGTGACCCTTAAAGAACCAAACACAGCTATAGCATCTGCACTGAACACAGTTAAAACAGATTAAAGGGGTTTTTATTCTTGTGTTCAGGGGACCAAACTCCCAATCAACCTGTGTCTCTTCTTCACTCTCTGATTAAAAGACAACTCAGGTCTACCTTTAGGCTGCAGCATCTAATCTACACCCCAGCAATGGCAACTGAGCTGCCTATATTTCTGGACTGTGAGTATATACATAGTCTTTGCTTTACACTCTCACATTTATTATAGTAGCCTAATTTGTCCTTTTAAAGTAAATGACTGCCCTCTCCCCCAAAACAAATAAAAAGGAATTTTTAAAAAGTGAATAAATAAGAATGCTTCAAAATGTCATGATTCATTTTAAAATATGCAGTGTGCTACTAAATATTTTGCTCTATTAAATTTTAATCCTAGTTAGTGTACTGTACCATATTTGGTACAGTACAATATACTAAATATAAACTAGAGCCATTCTCTGCACTAGCCAGCTGCCAAAAAAAAAAAAAACTAAAGTCATTCTACTTGTCAATTACTTTTTATCTTGATGGAGTAAACAGTTATGTTTGCCCACCACACTCCTTTGAAAAAGCCTGGAGGGAGTAAAAGAAAGACTGTTACTTACAACTATTAGATATTAGATTTCTGTCATCTTAGGTTAATTCACTTCTGTAAAATACTTGAAACTTATGAGAGATTTAGTTTTTACTGACTTAGAACTAATAAATTTGCTGTCAGTGATTCTGAAAATTAGTAAGCTTTAATAAAAGTTTAGTTTTAATAGCTATTCTAATCCACTCTAAATCAAAAGTATATTACAAAATTAATTTAAGAATTAATCTTTATACACTTTGAACCACACAGTCAGGGTACACCAAAACAAGGCTACTAATATCTTTTAAAGTTAATCCACCTATTGTGATCTTAGTCTAAACTTTATCATATCATATATAAAACTAAAGCTACACAGCTAATCTAATTGAGGACCATAAGTTTCTTTTTTTTTTTTTTTTTAATTTCAATTTTCTTATTTAAAACGAGTGAGTTGGGTATAGGGGGGTTAAATGCTTTCTAGGTAAGAAAAAAAAACTGCACTAGAATCAACTTTTTCATCACCATCTTCCTCCTCATCCACAAATTTCAGCTTAAGAATAAAACTGTTAAATGAGAACTCTGATATATAATACCAATATTTAAAGTGATTTTTTAAACTTAATAAGTCATTACTTTACCAAATATTAGATTTTCAATCAATCATTTGCTACCATTCAAAAAACAATTCTGGTCATTCACACTTCAAGGCATGTTGGTCTCACCGTTGACAGTTTTTGATGAACTGCCTGTTAATTATGTCTCCTTTGCGGGGGGGGGGGGGGGGGGGGCCAAAAA